CAAATGCCTAGTCGTGATTTTTTACCCATGTATCCTGTTACCGTTGATGCCGTTGGAGTGCAAAATTTAATTCACAAGCTTAAGTTATCCTCTTCTTGTGGCGTAGATGAAATCAACTCAAAGTTTCTAAAAAACACTGCATTGTATTCATCAATTTACTTGTCCTTAATCTTTTCGCAATCTATTCAGACCTCCACTTTGCCGCTTGACTGGAAGGTGGGGAAGGTGGTCCCTCTGCACAAATCTGGTAACACACAGTCTCCTCTCAATTACAGACCAATTTCCCTAACCAGTGTTCCTTGTAAAATGTTAGAACATATAATTTACTCCAACCTTGTCTCATTCCTAGAATCAAATTCTTTTTTTACTCCCTACCAGCACGGATTCCGAAAAAGTTACTCATGTGAAACTCAACTTCTTTATTTTACTAATGACATAGGATCGGCTTTAGATCGCGGCTCACTTGTGCATTGCATTTTTCTTGACTTTCAAAAAGCTTTCGATAAAGTACCTCACCAATTACTCCTCCTGAAAATTAGTGCCTTAAACATTGACCCGAACATTCTTAAATGGATTGAATGCTTTCTGACTAATCGCACTCAGTTTGTAACAACTAATGGCTATAACTCACCTCTTTCTAAAGTAACATCCGGCGTACCCCAAGGTTCCGTATTAGGCCCTTTGCTCTTTCTTATATATATTAATGATCTCCCAGACAGCATTAACTCCGCTATAAGGTTATTTGCAGATGATTGTGTAATTTACCGCGAAATAAACAATGAATATGATAACCAATTTCTACAGTCAGACCTTGACACTGTCTCAACCTGGTGCAATAAATGGCTTATGACACTCAACTCTAACAAATCTAAATGCATGTCAATAACCCGGCGATCTACTTCTCCCCCCTGTACCTACAGAATTAACGCCGTTCCCCTCCAGCATGTCTCTTCATATAAGTACCTCGGCGTTTACATTACCAACAATCTATCTTGGCACACGCATGTTACCTACATCTGTAATAACGCTAACCGAACGCTAGGATACTTACGCCGCAACTTTTCTCGCGCTCCGCTGTCCCTCAAAATTCTATTATACCGATCACTAATTCGCCCAAAGCTTGAGTACGCGTCCGCTATATGGGATCCCGTGCAGCAAAATTTAATTAACGCGTTAGAATCTGTTCAGAACCGCTCAGTTCGGTTCATTTGTTCTAATTATTCCCGTACTGCTAGCATATCAGAAATGAAATCTAACCTTGACCTACCCAATTTAACTGTCCGGAGGAAACTGGCGCGACTGCATTTTTTTCATAAGATATTTTTCACAATCCATCAATGAAGCGAGACCTCATTTCACAACCGTCATACCACTCGTCGCGCATTGATCATCAGCATAAGGTTGCCATTCCGTTTTGCCGCACCAAATTCTTTTCAGGAGCCTTCTTACCGAAAACAGCCGCCGATTGGAACCACCTTCCCTCTTCCGTTGTATCAATAACAGACCCTTTGTTATTCAAGACTGCAATTTCTCAGCAATGCTTGTAACTATACGCAGTTTCCACTATCTATCTTTGTCTTGTATGTGCTTGAATTCTTATACATTTTTAGTTGACTTATGTTGCCTTCCTGATTTGCGCATCTGATACTTGTTTCTTTATTTTGTCTTTTTTTCTTGTGTGTTATATATGTTGTACCCACCCCCTCTGTAATGCCCTACGGGCCCTGAGGGTATTCTAATAAATAAATAAATAAACTATGGGATAATAAGGATGCTTGAGGAGCTTGTCACGCTTAAACTATTTGGAAGGGTTGCGCTGAAATGTCGTGGCCTGAAGAAAAAAAGCTTGCTCAAACTAACCCAAGCGTACGTAATAAGCCGTGTGTGCTATGCCTCGCTTTCTTGAACGTCAGGTCTGAGGAGAAAAGGAAAATAGACTCGAACATTTACAGGTGCATGACAATAGTGTTAGGTTTACCAATCAGCACTTCCACAGAGAAGATCCTCTCGGTGGGAGTGCACAACACCTGGGTAGTTATAAGTTCACAGCTCGATCGACTAAGCCGAACGACCACAGGCAGATATATCCTCTATATGGTAGGCCTGCGAACCAATAAGTGACCACAAGGCTAATCAAGCATTCCGAAAAAGTGCCGCGAAAACCTAATTATTTCGCCTCTCCCTCGAAACATGCATCCCATAGTCCACACAGAGAGGAGAGAAAAAAGAGCAGAAACTCAAGTCAAACGCTTTTTACCTATGAACCCCAAGTCGATTGCGTATGTGGACGCGGCAAGTGATGAATCGAGCGTGGCAGTCACATTGATACTCGACGGCATTGTTGCCCCCGTATCAGCCGCCATCATTAGAATCCGCAGCACGGAAATGGCTGAAGAACATGCGGTAGCGCTCTCTTGCGTCGGAACGGAAGCTCATTTTATAGTCAGCGATAGCGACAAAGTCACTTGGAATTTTGGTAAACGTACGGTCTCGCCCGAAGCAGGAAGAGTTCTGTTCGGTAGATGGCGAAACAGAAAACGTAGCCAAATATTAAGCCCAGCACCCACATCCGTTCTTGGCTATGTGGCGGCCCATGAGTTAGCCTGAACTCTCTACATCCGGGTGACGTGGCTATGAAGCCACTCGACTGCCAGAGCATGGACGAGCGTCTACAAAATTATAATGAAATTGTTGAAAATTATCCACTACATCGGAGAGCTGCGCCACCACCAAATAAAAGCCTGAACAATAGGGAGGCAGTTGCATGGCGGCGCTTGGATAATAGCGATTCCACGAACCTGGTCTGGGCATATGATGTTCAGAAATACGATAAAAAAACAATAGATGGAAGCACAGCGGTGAAAAAGAGACCCTCGACCACACAATGTGGGATTGTGATAGCTTCCTAGGCGCCAAATAAAATATAAATTGCAGACAGGCCTGGGAAGCCCTGTTGCAAAGCGAGCATCCTGGTTTACAGCAGCAAGCCATCCGCCTGGTGGAAGAAGCCGCGAGGGGTCAGAAACTCTTCGCCTGCTTCTAATCGCGGAGGTGCCGGCCACCGTCCCCTATGTCGGTGTGGAGAGTAGGGGTCTCTTTATACCGCGGAACAATGAAGTTGTCATCCATCCATTGAATCAGTCGCAGTTGGGTGCGCAGAATACAAATAGACAGCCACTCACTTTACTTTTCATTCTTACATTGTCACGTGCTATAGAAACAATCAGTATTGACTAGCTAAGGCCTTGAAACAACCTAAAAAAGCCAAATTAATTTTCAAGGTCACCTTTAGTTGTGATGATTCAAAGGTTTGCTCAGCTTAGTGTAAACTTTCTGCCACTCAACTAGTGATTCATGTGGTGAAATAAGACGTTGTAATAATTGGTTTGCAACTTCGAAGAAAGATTTCACGTTTGTGCCTTAGAACGCAGCTCTTCGGTGATTGTATTAGCGGCATCGCCGTTGTTGGCGACCGTCAGCGCTGCAAGCAATAGTGCGAACGCTATTTCAGGAGCCACCAGTCTCACTTTGTTCCACCGTCACGCAGGCTGGGTCGGAGCTCGTGCGCATAGAGGGCTGGCACTGCGGCTAGCTTCGCTTGTCGTAACGGCGCAGTCGGTGTTTCACTTAGTTCGTGACGCCTGTAATGCACCGAGTTTTGTGCACAGCACTCGAGTGCTATCACCTTCTGTGGGAATGTGAGACGAAGGTTACATTGCTGCAGCTGCAGATAGGCGAAACTTCAAACACAGTTGGCTGTGCCCCCATATGAAGCTGCGCTAAAAATTCGTAATACACAGTATCGAAATCGTCGGTGAATTTTTGAGAAATCTTTTACGAAATATGCATAGTTAGATAAGACGAGCCATTTCCTCTACGTTGTCTTCGTTGAGGTCTCCTAAGTTTTCGAGACTATTCTGGTTGATAATATCTTGGGCCTGTCGCAACTAAGTATTGGTGAAGCATAAATTCTCATTATTTCCTGCATTTTGTTCTATTGTCATTGCACTTTAATGAATAGCACCCACACTCATATTTAATGCCTTCAGGCATAGATAACGAAATAGATAAATAAGTAAAGATTACAAAGATGCCATTACCACTCTTTGAAAAATCTCGTTCAACTGTTAGTACGAGAGACGGCGAGTTTTAGAAGCTCGGTTTATCGACAGTCTTTTACCTAAGTTGAGGCTATCTTATCCTCATTAACGCCCTTGCATTGTTACGTCCTCACCAGCATCTTTGTAAGGAGACGCTTGAGCGCATTCTATGCCACTGCGTATCATACTAATCTTAACGACGTGCTATAAAAGCCAAAGCCAAACTGCTTCACCAGAATTCACGACGATGCACTTACAAAAAAGAAGAGTCTGGAACCTTGGCTGGTGGTCTGGCATACGCGCAAAGCCCCGAAGCCTCTCTTACGCCTCTGAAAGACCACTGAACTTTATGAGTTCTTGTGAAATAAGAGCGTGAGACCATGCTGTGTAGTCTCAAGCTGACTATTTATCGATTGCTTTCTTACTCTTTTTTTGTCATTTCTTTCCTTCTACTATTCATCATTTCGCACACCTCTTCTGTAGGGTAGCCCACCAAGCCAAGCTTGGTTAATCCTTCTGCCTTTACTCTCTATTTCTCTCTCTCTCTCTCTCTCTCTCTCTCTCCAAAGTTTTCACCAACGAATGTCGGGTTCCTCTAGGCCACGCATTACGTTATTGTCCTGGGTTTCCCGGCTTCCCTACAGCTGTCTGCATAACTCCTCGCGTAGCTTATCGATGTTGGTAGTTACGTTGTCTTCTTTAATTCTTTGTGCATAAACTTCGTTTTCGTCTGTGCCGACCTTTCTCTTCACTCCTTTAAAGCTTCGTTCGTATCTTATAGCATGATCAATTCTCTCCACAATGAACCATTTACACATCTCAATGAATGTGCCAAATATTCTTGGTTTTTATGTCGGTGCACATCCTGCGCGGGTACATTGTTGAAGCGAGAATACATACCGCTCGATAATACGGTTGTAGTTGTCACTCCAAACCGTCAGACAGTCTCCCTGTCCCGGGGGAATGTGGCCAATAATGTGGACCTGCACATTCACCAAGCATAGCAAGTGCGCATTAGTTAGCGAATGCATACAAAAGTCGACATGTAGGGTCAAATACAATGTTGGATATGGGGTGTTTAACGACCCAAAACCAACGTATGTATTGGAGACACGACGTAGTCGTTGGCTTCGGAAATTTCGACCACCGGTTCTTTAACGTATAACCAAACCTGAGTACAGAGGCCTACAGCATTCTCGCCTCCATGGAAACTGAAGCCCCCACTGTATTGTCAAATATAGTTGATACGATTACTTGCATGATGGTCCGAAGAAACAGGCAAACCTAGCTTAAGCTTAACAAGATAAAGGGGATAATTTTGTGGAACTAGTGGAACCATTTCGTGGGAAATTTTAAATCATACAATCCCTTTTTCTCTTCATAGTATCAAACTACTTACAAATTCTGAATCGTCCAAATCTCTTGTGTGGCTGCGTAGTGTGGAACTGCCATAATAGTGTCAAATAAATAAACCTGGAACCATTTAATGAAGAGCTGTGCGTTTTGTGTGCAAAACATATAACGATGGACACTTTTGTCAGGTACTCTCACGCACGCAGATCTCACAACGCTAGTGAAGTCTTCAGATTATGCAAACAATGAGCACGAGAGCGGTTAGTTTTCGAGTGCGGTGTTTTACTGCGCCTGCGCCAAAGCTCGACTTGGTCTATTGGCGACCGCGAAGACAGTGCCGTTTCTCAGCACGACACTTCTTTCTTCTACGTCGTAAGTGGCACATCATTGAGCGGGGCTAGTTAAAAACACACACACCCTAGTTTTTGAGGACTGGGGAGCACGAAAGCATCCGACTACGTGACTACTTACGTAAAAGTGATCGACTTAGTCGCCAATAATCCATCTTCCAGGATCTTTCGTGAGGCTGTGCAACATAGCAGTTTCTAGTCATACTTTAGCGCCAATAAAACTATAAATCTTACTCACAATGCGAAAAGAATGTCTGAACGTCAGTGATAATTCACGGTCTTTTCATTTTTGGCAGTATCTAATCACACCTTCTGTCCAGTTGTTGGTCACTTTAAAAAATTGACGCAGTAGCTGGCTTGGCCGTTCATGACCAAGTTGTGCGATTGAAAGTGCCATTTGCATTCTGACATAGCCGGGTGGTCCAGTATAGCAGCCTTGATTACGCCATAAAGTGACTCTGGTACATCTGGAGTGTTAACAATGTGCTTAAAAGGGGCAGAAAGAGCCCCCGCCGCGTTCGTCTAGTAGCCAAGGTGCTCGGCTACTGACCCGGCCGTTGCGCGATGGAATCCTGGCTGTGGCGGCTGCATTTTTGATAGAGGTGAAGATGCTATAGGCCCGTGTTCTCAGACCTCGTTGCACTTTGGAAAAAACCCCAGGTTGTAGAACTTTTCGGAGCCCTCCTCTACAGCTTCTCTCATAATCATATTGATACAAGCCATGATAAATAACAAGGAATTGTCCACAAAGGCGACGAAGATGACGAATCAAATAGAGCTCGTGTTGTTGTTGTCGCTCTGCCATCTTGACTGACTCTGTGTACTCCCTGTATCATCTGTATGTATATTTACAGATGGTGCTTTTGGAGACGTTAATCCCCACGTATCTATCATTTTATGGGGCGGAAAGCCACAAAAAGTCCAAATACGCAGCTGAATGATTGCCTATGTCAACACGCGTGTGGCGTCTGAAATTCCACCATAACTGCACATGCAGACCTTCATTCAAACAGCGCAAAGTGTTTATCAGGTATGTGGATAGATTGAGACGAGATCTTCGGGAAGCCTTCGACTTTCCTGAAAGAAAGCAATATTGTGCCAGCTCTCTTTTCGTTGCCCTTCCTCAAAAAGAAATATGTGTCCACGAGGTCTGCACACAGGTGAAGAACCTGATAGTGGGAACACATTGTTTTTCGCTTTGCTGGTGCTGTGACGTTAGTTATGTTCTTCCTATTTATTGCATTTCTCGTACAGCACTTTGTATATGTGCTTCTTCTAGCTTTCTGTGCCGCCCAGGCGTGCAATTTTACGTTCAGTATGTACTAACTGAGCCGCCAGTAATCAGTCTGTTCGGTCATGCGCGGACTAATTAAGGTCACAAATATTGTTAATGATAGTCACTTTTATGGCTGCCGTCGCCGATCGCATTAATAAAAATATCCTCTTTAAAGCAACGTTCTGCATGTTCACGGTCACTGGCCCTTCGAAAAAATATTTTCATAGCGCTGATCTGAATGAATTCAATTTCAGTCCCCGCCCCACCGCGGTGGTCTAGTGGCTAAGGAACTCGGCTGCTGACCCGCAGGTCTGATTCCGGCTCCAGCGGCTGCATTTCCGATGGAGGCGGAATTGTTGTAGGCCCGTGTCTTCAGATTTGGGTGCAGGTTAAAGAACCCCAGGAGGTCTAAATGTCCAGAGCCCTCCACTACAGCGTCTCTCATAATCATATGGTGGTTTTCGGATGTTAAACCCCACATATCAATTAATCAATGTCCGTGCCAACTAATGCACTCTCGTTTTAAACAGTGCGTTGGCATAGTTTTCAGCTGCTGCGCATGGCGCCTAAGACTACATTTTAATCACTGCGCAAACCTATATTGCAGATGAATAAAAAAGGAAACAACTTTCGCTAGCGTTATCCCCGTAATTATAGGAACTTCATGAATATCGAGCCGCAAAGGTATACGAAAAACTAGACTCTGCACTGTTTACAATGAGATGTAGGTAGTCTAAGATAATACGAGTCTTTCCGTTATTGGCTTTGCGTATTCACAACTTCAGCAATGCTAAAATATGCTAATAGCTCCCGCGTAGTCGTATTTGCTAGCCCGGAGATCATGCACTATTTTTTTCCCTGTACACAGCGTAAGCGCTTAAATGTACGCACTTGCGGATCATAGCGTCAAATGCATGTTTAAATGGGAAATCTTGATGTTCCGTCAAAACGGGTTGGCGCCACCGACCCACAACGAGTGTCAATGTTTTCGAAAAGCAGATACATCGTCATTCACACACCACGCACAATGTTCTGTTTCATCATTTGTAAAGGTTGGCGGGAATGTTGTAGGCCCGTGTGCTCAGATTCGGGTGAACGTTAAAGAACTACAGGTGGTTGAAATTTCCGGAGCCCTTAACTACGGCGTCTCTCATAATCATATGGTGGTTTTGGGACGTTAAACCCCACCTTTAAATCAAGGAATTCGCAAATTTGAACCAATATTTTCAGTGTCTTTCAACACACACTATTCGCCATATTAAACACTGCACAGTTTTGAAGACGATGCTGCGGTTCCTCACACAGACCGCCACGTGTGTTCACTTTTCAAAGATAAACATCCCGGCAGCCTGGCAAGCATTCTGTCACACTGGTCACCGCAAATTTAGATGTTGTCTGACACACAAATACCACTGTTTTTTTTTTGTCAGAGTATATGAAGCTTAAGCTATAAAGATAAGACAAAAACATGGCTCATCCCTCCGTCATAAGAACCGTTATAACAAGAAAGCGAAAAGTGCCTTCGCACTAATAGTTCCAATTGTGTAGTGATATTTCGTTTGTTTACATATACTGTCAGTCCCTTCAGAGGCTATAATAGGAAGGGCTAGAAAGATGGAAAGAATAGTAAGTACACAAATCACATACACACCCCTATATACTCTCATGTGGAATATCTATAGGCTTATATACGCATACATACTGTTACAAATTTGCACACATTCTATCAGCAGAGTTTGTACCATTAGAGCTTGTACAACGTTCATTGCTGTTTGGCAGCAATAGCACGTCTGAAGCAGATACACCCACGTTGACGCCTAGTGACACATCTACATCGCGGCTACTAACGCCAGAGATCATAATTTAATCTTTCTAGTGGGTGAAGAACATATACCTTTACAGAACTTGACGTGAATACCGTGCAAAGGTTACACCGAAAAGCGTACGGCTGAGCTCGGATGCGGGCAGTCAAACATCGCACAACTCACCATTGCCACGTACGGCGTTTACGGGAAATGCACGAACCGCACTGCTTGACTCGGTGCCACCCGATGTCAAGTGCTCGGTGATTGCGGTGAAGGCGGAGATCATATCCCTTCAGAGTTTTGTGGTGTGACTCACATGCAAGTCAAGTATACATGTACACATACAAACGCACGCACGTCTGCACAGTGTGGTGGAACCCGTGATCAAATTCCAGTTGTGCTATTAGCGCAACGCGTACATAAACATGTGTGCATGAAATTCAGTTGCTGCTTTGTCCAAAGCACTTTTTCAAAACCTTGGCTCTGCGGCAATCCATGTTGCACTGTTTCTTATTGTTTAAATTATACTGTTGCCTAGATTGCATGCCTGAGTTGTTCGGACGCTGAGAATTTGCTATATGAGCTTGTACACTGTACTTGTTGCGGCTAAGCACGTGTGTTTTCAAAGACACAATAAAACAGGAGTGTACGCTTTATTTACAGTGCATTTTTTATGAAACCTCTAGAAATTCGCAAACATATTGCTCGGTTGACATACTTCACACTTTCCTTCAGCTTGAAACAATGCCGTTCTCGAAGGTGTCATACGTATTGTCAAGATGGTATACACCACCGAAGGGCTCAGGTGGGAAATAAGGTAGGCCCTCTTCCTCAAAAGCAAGCATGAAAACTGCCTTACAGACACAGGTATCAAACATTGCTAGTGATGCCTTACATTGATCTTAGCAGCGAAAACATACACTCACCAGTATTGAAGCTGAGCTTTTTTCACTGCATCAGTGCTTTAAAGGCTTGGCTCATACTTGAAAAATTGACTTGCTGCCCAAACTTGAAGGAAAACGAGAAGGGGGACAGAAAAGAGCGTACTTTCCTGTCTCTGCGCTCTTTCCTGTCTCCCTCTCGTTTTCCTTCAAGTTTGCTCAGCAAGTCGATTTTTCCAAAGGTAGTACATGCAATATATGTACAAGACTACTGTAATACAATAAGAACTAACATTACAACATTAGAGACATGCAAGCTATTTTCCCCTCACTTTTTGGCCTTTCGTCTCGGACTCTTGAAGCTCGTTGACGAGAAAAGCCAGCTGCTCTGCGGGGTCTCGCGGATCCAGAAGAAGCCACCTGCATTCAAAAGCGCCACTTTATACCTCAAGGTGTTCAAGGCAGTTTGCGTGATACGCATGCCCAACTCCCGCTTATGTCATTGTTCAGGCCCGATGCAGGTGTCATATTTCATTCGAACTTTCAGCCGTTCATTGTGGGAAATCGTTTTGTGTACCCTACCTCTATTGTGCTTACACCTTTGCTACGAGAAAAAAAAATTCTTGATTGTTTTTTTAATCAAAAGTACAAACAATGTTTCACCACATTTTTTTTTCTGAAACTGAAAGTAAAGCATTCTGCTCGCTGCGAGTAAAATATACTAGCTGATTCGACCAAAAGAGAATGGCTTACATGCTCCGCCACACTAGAGCATATCGTGCCCCGATCTGCTTGTAACGCTTCATGGCTGTGTTCTCAACCTGAATGTACTTACCTAATATAAAGTTATTTTCTCGACAAGTCATCTTTTGGTCCACTTTTCTTTCTTCACGTTTACACTTCCGTTACTTTTAATAAGGTCTTGTATACTTTCTGCATTATTGGCTGTTAGGTATACTTATTATTGTCTAACAAAAAACGAGCCCATAAGCGTGCACTTCTTTCATTCAACTATGTGACGGACTAGTTCTACTTGAGTTGGTACATTCAGTTAGCATGCCGTGAATTATTGTTCAGCTATCGGTGTGTAATTGGTTCACTTCTTGCCAATAAATGACCACTCGCCACAGTTGCAACGAAAAAGAATTTATCATATTTTGAGACCCCTACAGTTTTCCCGTTCACATATAAGCAAAGTGTGGCCGTGCCTTTATATGCCGTCGTAGGTAGCGCAATGGTCTGGGTTAAGAGTTCGGTAGATTTTCACGTGTCCGATGAAATGAATGGGGCGTCAGCTGGATTGGTGGAGATTTCAAAAGAAGGCGGAATGACAATGATTTTTGCGTGTCAGTGACAGTCGCAGAATTGACATCAATGCTATGTCCAGTGTAAAGATGATGTTCATCTACTGTACTGGCGATGGTATGTCCCTTAGCTACATCAATTGAGGGCGGCTTGATGCGTCGTTGGAAGTTACCTGTTTTTACCATTCACGATGTGCATCAGCCTTGACAATATACCACTCCAGGATAGCGTTCAGGTTCCCCCTTTTTTTGGTTATGCTTGTACAACGTCAATTTGATGTCACAAAGCTTTAATTGTATTCACCATTAGTGAGAGGGACCAAATGCGCTTCAACAAAACGAGCGCATACCCAGACATTCGCTTTCAGGCATACATCACGGATGCCGTGTATAAAGCGTTATCTCGAAAGCCACCGAATTTTGTTTATAGTAGACGCCGGTCTATCAACACACCTGTCAAGGATGGTGCGCATTCTTTTCGCTGTTCTCAAACATCTAGAACTCATTGATATGCAAGTTTAGATTGAAAAAGTTACCATTTTTGTGAACCATATTCCCTTTCGTTTTTTACTGGTTTGATGTAAGATGTTGGCGCACTGGTAAGGCGCCGGCTACTCCTTATCCCTTAAAAGCGTCTAATAGTAATGTTCCCGTAAGGTCCAAGTCTTCATGCATAGCAAGTGCACAGGCAAGATAATATACGAAATTTCAAAACAACTTATTCATCAATCGCATATACCTGCATATACGGTGATGTTAACAAAAAATGACCGCAGTTCCCCGAGTGGGATCACTGGTTAGCATGCGGAGCATATATGGTAAACTGCGATAAATGCGGTTCGTAATTTGCGACATGCGTGTGTGTTATGAGTGAACACGAGTTAACAGGAGTGAACACGAGTGAACACGCACGCACGTATGCTGCGAAAGACGATGTTTGTTGATGAGACGCTTTGGGTATTTTGAGCAAGATGGCTTTATGGTCCGTAAATTGAAGGGTGAGTGGGTCTGGTTGCAGCGGTCGAAGGTCGAAATTTTCAAAGACATGGTCGATGTACGTCCGGCGGACCATGGTCGGATGATGTTTGCCGTCGTGCGTCGCTCGTTTCAGCGAGTGCTGTGACTACATGCATTCAACCACTCAACGTCCGTGATGACGTCGACGTTCAAGTCAGAAAGGGTCGTCGTGCAGTCGTTGTTTCAGGTATTCTGTTTGTTTGTTTGTTTGTTTGTATCCTCTAATCCATGGCTCGTACCCACTCTGGGGGATTGGCCAAGAGAACATATAGTCTGATATGGACGATAACTGCATTATTGTTTACAACAAAAAAAAGAGGGGGGGTTGGGGGAGTTGTATAATGAAGGCAGTACGTTAAAAAAAAAGAAACCAAAGATTTAGATACTGAGAAAAAAGAATCAACAACAAAGTAGACACTAATAGCTACAACTTGATTTTAAGAGCTGACCAGACAGCTGGTTTTGCCAAACCCGATTAATTTGATATGTCACGGATTTATCCAGAATTGAAAATTGCTTTTTGACCCGTTTTTTTTGGGGGGGGGGTATTTGTTAACGTGGGCTTTATGTTGAAAAACATTTAGAGTCTTGAATAAAATTACACACCGCATCGAATGCATCTCTGTGGCGATTTCCCAAAACAGAGGCACCAAAACTTAGAACATTTTCTGTGGTTAAATTTAAGCCTAGCTTCACAAATAGATTATCTAAAAGTCGTTTCCTAATTAATGCATAGTTACGACATGAGCCAAAATAATGTTCAATAGTTTCTGATTCTTCGCAGAACGACAAAGGGGGGAAAGTGTCAGACCAGCTCTGTGTAAATAAAAATTTAATGGGGGGACACGGCACTGGAATCTAGAGATTATAATTTCAAGTTTTTTTGACGGACTCCACTGGGCTTTCCATGGAAATTTGAGGTGCTGATAATCTGTTCATTGTGTGATATTTTCTAAACTATCTGTAAAAATAGCGCATTTCCTATATCTAACCCCTGATAAGTATTCTAACTCGGGAAGTACTGAAATTACGGGTCCATCGAGTGATGCTCGTGCCAAAGCATCTGCCAATTCATTTAATTGTAATCCGCAGTGACCTGGGACCCACACTAATTTGCGGAGTTTTAAATGCGGCGGTGCTATTGTGTGGAACGCTGCTAGGGCACCAGATTGTTCAGAGGTGACAACCTCTGAACAATCTGGAGCTGCACACACCGAAAGTGAGTCTGTTAAGATGATTGCACTGGTCTCAGTCGTAGGAATTTTACGAAGAGCTAAAATAATAGCTACTAGCTTGGCTTCAAATTATTCTAGAGCTTCGATTTCGTCTTCGTCGTAAGTTGCGGCGGCGTCGTCGTCGTCGAAACGTTCGAAACGGCTCCAGTCTATGCGTACGTGGAGGTGTCTGTACAGCGGGGTGTTTTCCAAGTGTTTGAAACAAGCGTGGATGTTGCTGCGCTTGACCAACCCTCGCTTGCACGTGGCCTTGCTCACCAGTTTCCGCTTGACGTGGACGTCGATGGCAGCGTCCTCTGAATGTTGCGAGGCAGACACCTAACCACAGCTGGAACTTCGATGGGGACGTTCAATACCTGGCCCTTGATTCCGGACTGTCGGTGGACGTGAGTCAAGCGTCATATACTCATAAACGGGAGTCGAGGAGCGATGAGCCGTTCTTAGACAGCGTTTCACTCGGGTAGATGTTCCAGTCGGGGCGGGTAGCGGTAGCCGTAACTCACGCTGAGCGATGGAATTCTACCGCAACGAACGACTGTTTCCACGGGGCACACGCGGCGTAGTCGGCAAATTCGTCAGCGTCACTTCGAAACGCATCGCTAAACACCGACTACGCTTTGGAACGATGCAGTTCAATCTGAATGTTGCCGATCCGCGTCAAGTTGTCGAACCAAAGTCGATCACACACCTTGCAGCTGTGGCCGAAGCTCCGGTCGAGGAAGTCACGCTTGAAGCGAGCGTTGGGTGTGGCGTACTGCTTGGCTCGCCACGCCGCTATCGCGGGCGGCATCGAGATCGGCCTTGCGGCGTCGACACTTCCACGCGGCTTCACCGTCCGAATTCTCTTGCCGATGCTTACGCCTCGCAGTGGCTTCACGCTCTCGAACCTGGGAATCTACTCGACGTTGACGTATCGCAGCTGTTTCGCGTTGGGGATCCTCCGCTCGACGCTGACGTCTCGCACCTGCTTCACGTTTTCGGAGCAGGGGATCTTCGGCTAGACGCCGACGTTTGCGTTTCACATCGCGAGCTCTTCTCAGCGCGACCGTTGTCCACGGACGAAGTGTTTTCGGAATTGCTTGCGGTTCCGCCAACACATTGGCTGACGCTATTGGAAGGGACGTTAGTAAGTGTGTGTGCGGATTCGTTAGCATTCATTTTCAACCGCGACATCGGATGTGCAGCGACCGCACAAACCAACCGACGAAGGGCAGCGCGCCCGGACACTTGGTTATTTATAGCGAGCGCCGGTCCTAGCCACGTGTTTGACAACGGTATGCTGGAGAACGCGCGACAGAGAGGGGAGACGCCCATGTCGTCTGCTACGGCGCTCATTGGCTACCACCGCTGCCAACGTCGTTTCTTCGCAATGTCTTACGCCCTCGTCTGTCCTCGCCGTCATCGCTGCGCTCGCGGGGTAAGGGGCAGGTAATCACGGTGCTGCGTTGTCAATATGCCAGTAATCCTACTGCTTTGGGGCTGTTTCCGAACTACTGAAGCCGTTAAGTAAACAATGTCAGGGCTGTCTGCGTGGACAGGTGGCATCTGCAGACTCGTGGCAATACGACTAGTAGATGGACAGGATTTACGCGTTGGAACGAGACGTGCGGCTGTGGCCGCGGGGTTCATCGCATGGGGAGCTCGTTTTTCGCCACGCGTGTGTTGCACACGCCTACGTTTTAACCCCTTTTAGTTGCAGTTTTAATCCCCAATCTAACAGCCGCATCCAGCGGCTGTACGCTGCCGTTCATGTTTTGAACAGTTTCCAGTGCTTGCTTGTACTTGCGAGTTTTAAACAGATCAGTACAACGTGTGTAAATCCAAATTCATGTAATGTATATACCTACCGGCTCAGTTCAAATCA